AGCTCTTAGTCTCATTGATTTGGCTACCTTAGGGATGTGTTCGCCACGTCCACGCGGTAGAAAATTCATCCGTTGAGTTGAGTTGGCAGCCCTAAGGCAGCGGTATAGTGGACTTCGGCGTCTATGTCAAGGTGTCGCATTTTTGGCGACAGGCGACCAAGACGCAAAGTGGGTTTTTAGGCGCCAAAAAAATTTGGGGGACCGGTCAAAATTGCGGACTACCTACAACTAGCTCTGGTAGAACAGAGACTTTTGGAAAAATGACGGACCGGTCCTCAGGTGGAAGCAGACCCCCAAAAGAAGTGGGGGACGTTGGATCAGTCCTCGAGTGCAAACGGACCCCAAAAAGAAGCGAGGGCATGTGAACGGCAAAAGGGCCCTCAGGACCAGGCGTCAAGGCCCATCTTATCAAAACAGGGAGGTCAGGCGCAACGAAACAGGCGTTTTGCAAGGGGCAACTTTTACGATTTTCTGTGCACGGAGGAACGCACAAAAAAATTTGAAATTTTGAGAATCCATAGATGAGGTCGTGTTCCTTCCAGAAAAAAAATTAGAACATTTTCAAAAAATCACTTAGACCGTGAAATAATCGTTACGCCGATTCGACACATTTTTCATTTTTGCCACTCACCAACTAAACCCCAGCTCCGACCAGCGTCGTTCTGGCATCGGCCAGCCGTGAACCGGTGGATATAACCGTACTGGCCCGTTATCAGACGATCCGCTAAACACTACCGCAGCCATAGCTTCAGTTGTCTAGCTCCCTTCCTGCACTGGACATGCTTGACCCACCCAAACCACCTAAGCATTCCCCCTACTCCCTACTCCGGCAAGACTCATCACAACGGAGCCACCATCTCCGTTGCTGCTATGCCCTAGTCCCATCCTACCAGGTAGCCCCATCGCCCTAAATGCGACGCATATGGCTGTCACCGTTACTGTAGGCCTGTCCCTCCCCAACGGCTCGGTAGTCCAGGGGCTGGCAAAGTCGAGCGTCGGGAAAATTAGCCTGGAAGGTACTTGTGATTGGAGAGGTGCGTTGGGGTTCTCTTTCCCGCCGCCCGCCGCCCGCCGCCCGCCGCCGCCCGCCGCCCGCCGCCCATCGCCCCCCCGCCGCCCAACGGCTGCCACGTCGGTTTGCCGGGACACCTATTGGTCTGGAAAGCTGCCCCGGTCCTCTCTCCCCCGCCGTCGCGCCCTCCGTGGCCGTTGTCAATTCTTGTCGCCTACGCTCTCACATTGAAACCTCCGAGTCGGCACCGAGAAAACTACCGGTAGCGCGGCACAGCGGTGGTGCGGCCAGGGAAGGAGGCATGGGCGCCCTGTCACTTGCCTCGAGTCTTGACATTGTGGGCATGTTAATTAGTATTCGGCTTAGGGCATACTCACACTAGCACTTCTCAATTTATTTCTGGACGGAATTGCGGCCAGATGCATTTTAGTCCGGCTGTAATTGCAGTCAGGTACATTTAAGATAGTGGTAGTGTGAGGACGCCCTTACTTAGTTAACAGTATTGATTGCGCTGTAGTGCAGGCATAACGAACTTATTGTGGTGGTCGTCTTGTCTTGACACGCAAGCGGCGGTGACCAACGGAACGTGTAATCAAGCAGGTGATCGGCGGAACGAGTAATCAAGCTACGCGCAACGCGCAACGCGCAACGACGCCCGCCTCGTGGGTGGCTACCGGTTGTTGCTCGGAACTATCTCCAATAGTGCGCTCGTAGTTCCACGCGAAGTGCGCGGGGTAGCTGCGGTACGTTGCGCGAAGTGCGCGGGTAGTGAAATCTGAGGTACGGAGCAATCGAAAGTGCGTCGTGGAAGCTGAGCTGGTCAGGCCACGTGGTTGCGGCACGACGGTACTCAGTGCGCTCAAGTTGGTTTGATCTTGCGCGATCTCGTTGGAGATGTGGGGAAGAGGCGGCCGAGGGTTTGGATATGGGGGGAGCTATGGCGCCGGGCCGTATGGTGGAGGTGGATACGGGGTGGGTGGGTATGGCGGCTATGGNGTCCAGATACGTGGAGGATGTGAAACGTATCTGTATGTCTGGTTATCGTTCCAAGACATTCAGAACTTTTGATCAGTCCGACAGTATCTGCTCCATGCAACAGTCCAGATACGTGGAGGATGTCGGGACTCCCTATATCTGATTGTGGGTACCGATATGCGTACCTTGTCGGCTTATGTTTGTCAGAGTATACGGCTTTGATTCATGCTTTTCGCTTTTCGTTTTATCGTGGTCAGTCTGAATGCTGTCTCTTATACACATCTAGATGTGTATAAGAGACAGGTGCAGGGAGGGGGCGCGGCTGGGCCGGCGGAGTCGGGATCTCTGCCGATGCGGCCTCGGCGGCGCGCAGCGGTGAACCCTCCCCGCCGGGAGCGGAGCCGGCCCCTGCTGCTGTTCCCCGAACTCGCGGGGGCAAACTGGTCGATCTCCAGCAGGCGCTGCTTCGTGTCGACGGCCGAGGCTATGGAGCTTACAGGGACATCGAGGGCGTTTGGGTTTTGGAGGAAGGCATCACGTTGTTCGTTGATCGTACTCAATCTGATCCTTTCGCGCCTCCTTCCAGATGTAGAATCCAGGTCAGCAATATCTGCACCCTTCCCCCTCCACCTCCCCCTTTATTTACTAGTATTTTCGCACTCTCTGGGTCATTGCCCGCTCCCCTCTTTCCGCCTTTATGCTATGGTCCCTTTTGCTTGTGTCCCCATCGACTCTTTCTGATCTATACAGCGTCTGTACCCTGTAATTCTGTGATCTCGTCGACAGCAGCGTGGTGCCAGACGAGACAAAAGTGGAAGTCTCATCACACTTCTCGCATCGAACACAACGTCTCGGCTGTGCTGGTTGTGTGTCGCATGAAAACTTCTCTATGGTTGGTGTGTGCCTTTCTGCGTCTTTGCGTGTGCTGCAGAAATCGTTGGGTTTGTCGCTGATTGTCGTCCATAGTTTGAATGCGTTGAGGGATGGTGGTTGAAGCTTGGGCCTAATAGTTGGGAGCCTTGAAATGATTGAAACGGTGCAGGATGAAGCAGGATGATGGTGATGTGGAGAATGAAGAAATGATGGATGGCGTATGGTGTCGATGACGTCTATGGTGACTGATGACGTGTATTTGCTTAATGATGTGTATGATGAATTGTGGACTTAGCAGTAGATGATTGAGGGAATGGTTTTGATTACTGATGGGTGATGATAGATAGACGATTCGATCATTCGCAGGTGAAGCTTACAGATTACGAAATGTACGATGAGGGACCGGATGATTCACGGCGTCTGTTGAGGGTCTATCGGGCGTAAAGGAAGGGGAGAGAGAGGGAGGGGAGAGAGAGGGAGGGGGGGGGAAGGAGGAGGGGAATCTAACGGAAGAAACGTTGAGGGGAGGGGGGGGGAGGTGGAGGGTAAAATTTGGTGGTGGTCTTGGTTGATGTGTAGGGAGTATAGAGGAACTGAGACTATCTATCGGTCAGCTTATTGGCCGGATAAATCTCCTTATGAAGTGTCGTCATTTGGAAAAAAAGCATCGGTATGTGAGCTTATGAATAAGAAGAGGTATAATTGTGTATTATGCACCAAATGAAATCCACCAATCCATGAAACTTGACCCACAAATTATAGTCGTAACGTAAAGACAGACTTATTTCCCATGGAAATGGCGCTAAAGCAAGTCGAAATCTATTCACTAAACTAGCCTTCTGGTCACACCGCATTTTAGTCCTCCAATCAATCAATCAATCAGTCAATCAATCAATCAATCAATCAGTCAATCAATCAATCAATCAATCATTGATCTTTGAACCATCAATGAAATGATAATCGGTGCGACAATCAATCAATCAATCAATAGGTCGTTGATCACGGAGCTATCCATGAAATGACAATCAATCAATCAATCAAATCAACCAAGCAATTAATTGATTGATAATCAATCATTGTTAATGGAAGGTGAGACTCAACCACTATAGGAGATGGATTCGGCTATGGGTACTGAGACGGAAGTACGAAATGCTGGCCATCGCCCGTTCTTAACTCATTTACTACTCTGCTTGCTGCGTTCTAAACCCAGTTTTCCACTAACTGCTATAATTCACACGGGTATGTAGAAGATAATCACGCGCATCGCATCGCACACATGGATCGGGTTATGGAGTGTAAAATTGAGTAGGAGATGACAGTCACACATAAGCCATGGTGGTAAGGGTTAGACAATATGGGAAAGACTTCGCGCATGGGCGGTTGAAACGATCAAGATCAGTATTTGGTGTGAAGGCGGGACTGGTTCGTGTGAAGGCGGGACTGGTTCGTGTGAAGGCGGGACTGGTTCGTAAGTAAGTGGCTCCTAATTAGGATTTCTCTGCTTTTTAATTGGCTCTTTATTAATCGAAAATTTGTGGTGGTGGTGGTGGTGGGGGGGTTGGCTCTTAATCAAGCGTTGATAATGTTTTCGATGGTTTTCTGTTATTTCCTTGGTTCGTAATTCATATCCCCTTTTCCGGGAGCCGTTTTTATTTTTATTTTTATTTTTATTTTGGACCATTTCTCGATTTATGCGTGTCATCCTTACTTGCGCAGGGGCCATGCTAATTTTCATTCTCTGTATCGTTCCATGTAACGGATGTCCCGAAGGACAGGAGCGGTTTGTATTTTTCCCTCAGATTTGATGTTGCAAAAAAAAAAAAAGAAGAAAAAGGGGAAATAAAGAACAATGTGAACTTCTTGCGCTTTCTGTGGGTTTACTTAGTCGTGTTCTCCAGAGTTTTTTTTTTTTTTTTTTTTTTTTTTTAMAATYYCCAGRGGTTTYAGGGACACTGGATTCCGTTTTGACTMCTCTTTTTTTTTTTTCTTTCAATGTAAGGCAATTTCGAACTACCGTTTTCACCCGAATAGAACGCCCGGTCATTATCACTGTATCTAGACTGAAAGTTGTACCAAATACAGCTATAATGATCGGGCGTTATATTCAGGTGAAGACGGTAATGGTGCCATCAATCATTCCGCGTTCTTCTTGTCTGGATGTGGACGAAGTGAGAGAGAAGCCGGATTCTTCCTTAGTGTTCCGGGACACACACGTAGGAATGAGAGATTTTAACTGTGGTCTGTCTTGCGTGGCGATGATATCTTATATTGGGAGGTGGGAGGTCAATGACGTGGTTTGTTCTGTGGTCGGTGATGAGGTGATGTCTATGGTGAGGCTTGGTTCTGTGGTGATGGTTTCGTTTGTGGTGTCGGTCATATCAACGGTAAGGCTTGGTTCTGTGGTCAGGATGGCTTGCTTGCTTGCTTGCGGTGTAGTGTGTCGGCTTGGGACGTACTACAGTGAATCTGGTCTTCTGCAGTCGAATGAGGTGTGCGTACTTCTGTGTGTAGCTTATGGGTGGTACCAATAAGGGGCCGTATTCACACTACAGGACCTTTCTCGACGTATCTGGGCGTTTAGGCGGGCGGGCGTGCACTAGTAGTGCATATATCTGAACGCAATTACGTCAAGATATCAGTTGAAAAAAGTCCTCGACCGGGAAAGAGGGTTCCGTGAAGGTTCCATCATGACTGGCTAGTAGTTAATTAGGCGATGACAGAGAGAGAGAAAGTGCGAGCTATGGAAATCGTCTGTGGTGTCGAAAGGCGGTGATTTGGAGAGTAGGGATTGTGGAATTATCATCTCTACCTAGTTAAGGGAAGTCATTTCTTTACCTATAATTTAGGGAAGTCCTTTCTCTACCTAATTTAGGGAAGTCCTTTCTTTACCTAATTTAGGGAAGTCGTTTCTCTACCTAATTTTAGGGAAGTCCTTTCTCTACCTAATTAAGGCAAGTCCTTTCTCTCTCAAGGGGGAGATTTCTGGGGGAGAGGGTTTCGGGAAGGGTCTTGGATGATCAGTAAGCACCAGTCCGAATTAGGTAAGTTGGAAGGAGGGTTTGTGCTGTTGATGTCCGCGCAGGCGTTTTGCTCTTTTTTTGAAGTCGTTGGTGACGTCAGTGTCCACTGAGGCAATCAGCTTTTTTTTCTTTCTTTCTACATTACGAGATGGATTGGAAGTATTTGTGGCAAAGGGTAAGAGTGGGGATAGGTCGGATTGCGAGATGGGAGAGTGGAGGGAGGAGCGACTTGGGAGGTACGTGGAACCCCGTTTTCGGATTGCGAGATGGGAGAGTGGAGGGAGGAGCGACCTGGGGGGTACGTGGAACCCCGTTTTGGATGTGTTTAGTGGTTTCTGCGGAAGAAGCAGCAACGAGGTGGAGGGAGGGAGGGAGATTGAGGGAGGGAGAGGCGGGCGGGTCGGAGAGCTGAAAGTCGCCTTTTCTACGTTATCTGATTTGGGCAGAGGTTTCTTTCATCGAATCATTTTTCGAATTCTGATTGGAACCCTTGTTTTTCATAATTTCGAATTTCGGGCTGGTTAGGGTTGCAGACAAAGAGGGTATAGGAACTATATGTTCTTTTGGGTTTTAACTGTTTTAGGGCTTGTGTCGGATGCATCTGGTCACAATTACGTCTTGATTCATCTTGATCAGTGTAAGTACATAAGTTGTATTATGTCACGTTATATTGAAAGAGAAATCGTTTCATCGTATGGTGACAGAGTAGGTTATCGCAATCTCCCGTCCTCTTATTATAACGGGGCTAATGTGTCACTGCCGGATGCATCTGGCAACAATTATGCCCAGAGACGAAACCTGATCCTAGCGTGAATCTCCGTGGTAAATGTAGCCCGCCTTCTGCTTCGACTTTGGCCTCTTGAGATGTCCTGTAGAAACGTCAAGTCCGGCATGTTTTGTTTCTTTTCTTTTGTTTTTTTTGTTTCGCTTCGTGTCGACACAAGGTACTTTTTTTTTTTTTTTTTTTTTTCTCTAGGTACTTTCTAATTGATCTAGGGTTACAATTGAGAGGGTAAGTGATAACGATTGTGGTGGTAATCAAATATCGTAATTGGCTATATTAAAATTAATAGGGGTTAATGTTTTTTCCTTTCCGGATTGTCATAATCGATTTTACGGATAAGTAGGAAAGGTTCGTCTGGATGGATAGATTGATTGCGATAATTTGACTTTCCCGCCAATTTGATAGATTGATTGCGATAATTTCACTTTCCCGCCAATTTGATGGATAGATTGGGATAATTTCACTTTCCCGCCAATTTGATGGATTGATTGGGATAATTTCACTTTCCCACCAATTTGATGGATAGATTGATTGGGATAATTTCACTTTCCCGCCAATTTGATGGATAGATTGATTGGGATAATTTGACTTTCCTGCCAATCCATTAGGCTGTATACCGTATGAGAAAACAACCGCACAGGACATTTAGAGGCGCAATGAATGAGGACTAAGTTCTTGGTCGGCTACCAGCGCAGAAAAGCGCAGAAAAGTGGAGTCAGGTTCTTTGGTTTGAAACGATCCCATTTAGTGTCGGATTCAAGAGGTGCTGTGAGGCGGGCTGATAATTTTAGGATTCTCCAGTCTTCCGAGGCGGGCTGATAATATTTTCCTTTTTATGAATACTCTCTCTCATCAACTGTCTCTGGGGAGGAGGGGGGTTGGAGACAAGAGGGGGTTTCGAAGTCTGAGAAGGGGGGGAGCGGGAATGGGAAGGATGGGGGGCGGAGGAGAGGGGGAGGAGGGGTGGGGGTGCTGCTCATTCTCTCTACATCCTAGCTGACCTGACTTGTTTTTGAAAAAATACGAAGTCTCATGACTGTTCACTAGAAGTATAGTAGATCAAAAAGTCTCATGACTGTTCACTAGAAGTATAGTAGATCAATAAACGCAACGGTTAGTTGCTAGCGTATTCTCCGTAACAAAGAATGTATACAGGGCCCAATCCTGGCCGATTGCAGCCATGATAATACGGTAATAGGAAGTGATAAGCGAGAGAAATAAGGTAGTACTCATGATACTGTAATGTTTTACCTTTCGTCATGCCTATTATGATCAAACTTGGTCGTCTTCACCGGATGGGGAGTGGGAAGACTGATCGGTACAGCGTAATTTAGTTCTCTTCTGATCTTTTGGAAACTTTGCGTAAGGCCAATCGAAGAGAGGCAAACGCTTCCGAAAGTGTGCGTGTTTTTTATCTATATGCTGTGGGCAACGTGGCACTGAATCTGACCGCAAGTGCCGGTATATTCATCCATGAAACTCCTGGTACGAGTATTTCCGTCATGTCCATTCGCGAGCTGCGGTTATTGCCAGATCCATGAGTAGACGGTAGTCGTCGTGTTGTTCAACCCCTTTTTGGAAAGCAATAACCGCAAAATTTAACGACCGCGCCTTTTTTTTTTTTTAATTCTTCGAGAAATGTGTCGTTGCCGCAGTCTGCCTCGGCTCTAAAAGTCCATGTCGTTGTCGCAATCTGCCTCGGGTCTAGTTCGTAGGATTAGTCTAGCTCTCGGTAGTCTAACCCTAGTCTAGCCCTATTCGTTCGAAGGTGAGTCCTTGGTCTTGCCCCACTGTCTTCACCAGATGAAGAGAACCCACTAGCTCTAGGTTGTTATCGCGGCGTATATAATAGACTGAAAGTTGTCCTTAAATTAAAATAGTGCGAGAATGACCACCTGGTGTTCTATTCGGGTGAGGGCGGTAGTCCAACCTTTCGTTCTTTGGATAAGTCTGCTTGCTTCCCATTTTTGTGCTAACCGTAGTCAAAACTTCTTCCCTTCCACTAGGTTGCTCCTCTTATAGTCTTAAGCAAAATCAGTCTTTAGTCCTGCCTGAGTCCTGCAGGCTTCCACTTAATGCGGTCATTAAGCAACAAACACCACCCATCTGTCCCCGAACGTAACGCACTTTGAAAATGAATGCATACAAGCTCTATTTCCCCTCCTGGTTCTTACGTCCCCGCTCTTTGTCGTTGTGCTGGGTTTTGTGGTTTGCCGTGCCGTCCTTGTGGTGTGTGTTTTTTTTCTCTTTGGTTGCTTGTTTGGCTGGTCTCCCCCACTCATGTGATGATGCAGGTAGCGCAGCAGCAAGCAGGGTTCCCAGAGTCTCTTTATGATTCTCGCATTCGAGCCATCGCTCTGCGCGACTACTTGACAAGAACGTTCGCTGAAGCTTTGTCGAAAAGCGGGGCTGACATCCGACGTGGCGCGGTGCGATGGAACGCCGCGAAAGGCGGAGAGGTGACCGTTGAATCTCCAGGGCAACAGGTGTTGGAACGATCGAGCGTGCTGATCTCAGAGGAAAAGGTGGAGGCTCGTTTCGTGGTGGCGTTGCCGGCGCAAGGTCGGACGGTGTTGGGGAAATGGGCAGCAAGGGTTCTGACAGAGATGATTCCCACGGCTGTGAAGGCATCCCTGGTGTATGCCAGCCTGGACGCGGCTGAAGTGGAGGCCCACGTGAACTGTGTCGAGGACACAGAGAGTCTCAGGTCGCAGCTGGCTGATGCCAACCTTGTTGCCTTTGTTGGGAACGGATCTGTGCTTCCGCGCAAGACCGGGGCCTGCGATCTCCCTATGGAAGGGAAGGAGGTGGTGGTGTTCGAGTCCCCCCCATCTTTGTCCCGCTCGTTTACGCTTCCCCATAAGGGTGAGGTGTCGGGGATGGGAATTCCAAAGGGGGTGACTTTGATCGTAGGAGGGGGGTTTCACGGTAAGAGTACGTTGCTGGAGGCGCTGCAAATGGGGGTATACAACCATGTGCCAGGCGATGGGAGGGAGCTTGTGGCGACGGACCCGTCCGCGGTGAAGATCCGCGCGGAAGACGGGCGGAATGTGGAGTGCGTGGACATCTCCCCCTTCATTCGGAACCTGCCGATGGGGCGGGACACTGCGCAGTTCACGAGCGCGGACGCCAGCGGAAGCACCAGCCAGGCGGCCAATGTGATGGAGGCGTTGGAGATGGGCGCCAAGACGCTGCTAGTGGACGAGGACACGTGTGCTACCAACTTCATGACAAGAGATGTGCGCATGTGCGCGCTTGTCTCTGCTGAGCGCGAACCCATCACTCCGTTCGTTGCTCGGATTCGATCTCTTGTCACGCGCTTCGATGCGTCGTGCGTCTTGGTAATTGGTGGCTCGGGGGATTACTTCGACGTGGCGGACACTGTCATCATGCTGGACAGTTTTGCGGCGCACGATGTGACCGGCGAAGCTATCAACATCGCACAGAGATACCGGAGACCCGATGCAGAGAGCTTCGTCTCGTCCGATGAAGAGGACCCTTTCCCGGAATCGCTTGCTCGTGTACCCAAGGTTGTCTTTGAGGCCGCTTTCACCAAAGCGAGCGTGAGGTCCAAGTCTGTTATTGCAATCGGAGAGGAGGAGATTCAGCTCTCGGCTGTGGAACAGGTGGGTGCTCCATCTCTCTCTCTCTCCCCTCTCTCTCCTCTCTCGCTCTCTGTTTGCGTTCGAATCTGACTCGTGGGTGGTGGACAAAGCGCTGTCGGACAGGCTTTCTGCTGCGTTCGAGCAGAGGTGGCCGGTCATTCTCTCTCTCTCTCTCAATTGCTCCTCTTTCTTCTCTCTCTTTCTCCTCTTTCTTCTTTCTTCTCTCTCCTCTCTTCTCTCTCTTCTCTCTCTTTCTTCTCTCTCTTTCTTCTGTCTCTTTCTCTCTCTGTCTCTCTGTGTGGTCAACCGCGCTCTGCTTGGGAAAAGTCTCCTCCACGTGCCACTTGGGGCAGGCAGCCTTGTTCTTGCATTTCCAAACATGAGCGGTGTGTGTGTGTGTGTGTGTCTGAATTTTTGTTTTTTGTTTTTCTAAGGTTCTGGCTCTCCTTGTCCTTTCTGCGGAGCGTCAATCTGGTCCCTTTGCCCTCAGCAAGCCGTACAGATTACAATGAATACGTACACGCTCCAATGCTTCTCTCCGTTATGGCTGAGAGATCCGAGTGGGGGGCATTGATTACTTCTTTCTGGAAGGATGTACCTCTCTCCTCACCCCTGCCTCTGTTTCTTTTAGCCTCCCGTTTGTCATCGTCCTTTTATCTTTTTCTCACTCTTCTGTTGAGCTTTTTGTCTCGTGGTTCTCTCTCTCTCTCTCTCTTTCTCTCTCTCTCTCTCTCTCTCTCTCTCTCCTTACGCCCCAGTACTGCTTGTTTTCGTGTTTGCTTTGGTGCTCTTGCTTTCCCCGCTGTCTCCTGCTTTGCCTTTCTAAATCTCCTTTGATTTCACGCTCCTGTGACGTTGTTTCATGCTCCTGTGGACTGTGCCTTACCCCAGAGTCCCGTCCTTTTTTGTCTGTGCCTTACCAGAGGCCCGTCCTTTTTTGTCTGTGCCTTTGATGAACGTTACGGCACGGACGGAATAATATGGGATCACTCGTATGTACACGGTTGTTCGTCTTGTGTCTGGCGTTCGTCTTTGTCTGTCGTTTTTTCTTTTTAGGGCCTCGCTGCACTACTCTCGAAATGTGCAAAACGAGAGTGAATCTTCCGCTAGAATATGGAAAGATGCATCGCCATGATTTTTGTCTTTTGTGCATGTCGAGAGTAGTGCAGCGAGGCCCTTACCATATAAAACGGAACTTGCAGAGACAACGTCAGCGCGCTGTTGAGTTATCTGAGAATGAGGCTAAGTATTTCAAGCGGGGTATATCGGGCCTCGCCGAACCACACCAGATGTGCAAAATGAGAACGAATCTTCCGCTAGAACATGGAAAGACATACAGCCGTAAGTTTGTCTTTTGTGCATGTGGTGAGTGGTGGAGCGCTGTCCAGATGTGCACGGACGGTGAAGTGCATCTGCGCTTTCATTGTAACCTGCAACCCGTTTCTTTTTTGTTCTTTTTTTTTTTCGGGAAAAAGGGAGGATCCGTTTTATACATTGCAAACCAAGAGAAACTTTTGAGGCCGGGAATCCTCACAAACAACCCGGGTTAAAAAATCCAGTAACCATCCGGCCGGGGTTGTTCCCCGCCGTATCCCTCAGGGACCATGCCCCAAGGGGTGACAAGAGATCGCAACAAAAACAGTGAGCCCTCTGCTCCAGCAACCCGTTTCCAACATCCGCAGTCTTTTTTCTTTTTTTTCTCTTTGTGAACGTCGCAGCCTATGCGTACTGACACACAAAATTTAACTTAGCCTTAAAACTTATATTCTTACTGTATGTAGTCGGCTGATTATGGGCCTCGCTCCACTGCACAGCGTTTGAAACGTATCTGTATGTCTGGTTATCGTTCCAAGACATTCAGAACTTTTGATTAGTCCGACAGTATCTGGTCCATGCAACAGTCCAGATACGTG